TATATATATTTTTTTTTATATATATATATATATATATATATATATATATATATATATATATATATATATATATATATATATATATATATATATATATATATCTAATTGCGTAGACCTCCCTATGAAATTTTGAATGGCTAAAAACCCCCTCATGTTAAAAATATTAGCATAGACCCCCCCATATTATTTTTGACAAAGCCCACCGGCCCTTATACCAAAATTAGCAGTTGACTTATGTGAAATGACGAAACTAACCCTCATATTTTTTAATAATTTATGTTTGAATTAAATAAATAAAATGCAAAAAGGGAAAAAAAGAATGAAAAAAAATTATCACCCAGGCCATCGTCTTCCTCTCGGAACCCAATTCTTCCATCGAGCCCTCCTCCGTCGCATCACCACCACTACCACGGCCACACCACGGCCGCACCACCGCCGCACCACCGCCGCATCACCACCTGCCTTCACACCCCAAATAAAGATTATGCTTTACGTTTGATAGGTTCTTTCATATCTCTTGTATAAGGTTTTGGACCGAGTTACGTTTTGTGCGTGTGTGTGTTGTGCTAGGGCCTGTGTTTTTTGTGCGTGAAGTGCCTTTGTCTTCCGGCTGGTTTAGATGGAGAAAGCAACTTTTGTTGTTTTTTCTTCTTTTGCAAACGGGCTGGAAGATGAATCGTTGGTTATTGTTTCTTATTTTTTTTTTTACTTGGCGAGGAGCATATCTGAAGAAAGAGGGGAAGAAGATGAAGTTTAGAGAAACTATGAAAATTGCAATTTGGAGAGAGGGATTTTCTGAAATTATTAGGGATTGAATTGAAAAATTTGAAACCTTCATTTTGAGCTTATGAAAAATATTTTGGATAAATTTATAAATTTCAAAAATTGATTTAAAGGGTATTTAGGTCTTTCTAGTTCCAAAATACGAGGCCCAGTCGCACAAAGCGCGAGTGTATAACACATCGAGCTCGTAGGGTCCTTTTTGGCTTTGACTATTTTTCACAGGGGGTTTTGTGCTAATATTTTTAACACGAGGGGTTCTTCAGCTATTCGAGATTACACAGGGGTAGTTTCTGCAAACAACCCTATATATATATATATATATATATATATATATATATATATATATATATATATATATATATATATATATATATATATATATATATATATATATATGAATCGGAAATATGATAAAATATTTAATTTATTTTTATATAACTCCAATTCCAACTCAAAAAATATCGGCAATATTGAAATAAAATAATTGTTACATAATCAAAACTTTTCGACCCGGAGCCGGTGGAAATTGAAAATTCCATCCCATCATTCACCCCTAATCTCGTGTGAAGTATTAATGCATTAGTAGATTTAGGCAAGATAATATATACCAAAATCAAAATATTTTGTTGTTGCTAGAAATTGTGCATGTTATATTATTATTATTATTATTATTATTATTATTATTATTTGTTTATCTAAGAATACGAATTAGTATTGATGATAGAAAAAAAAATAAGTCTATCGTTTTGCATTCAGTCTTAGGGTATGTTTGACAGAATTAAGCACTGAACGCTGAATGCTGAATACATGGCTGAATGATTAAGACCACCGCCAGAATGCTGAATGCTGAACGGTTAAGCTTGTTTGATAACAGAAAATATATTGTATTTGAATAATGTATTTTACTATATTAGTTTTCATAATTATTGAACATATATTTATATACTAGCAAAATTATCAATAATTATTGAACATATATTTATATACTAGCAAAATTATCAATAATATATAAACATTTTTTTTAACTATGTCCCTCATGGTTACTATATTGTTATATTTCTCTTGACGTAAATAAATACCATAAATCTAAATTATTTATTTCTGACAAATATATATATATATATTAAAATTCTAATACTAATTATAAATTTTCACTAAAAACACAATCATTTTTTCATTATATAACAATCAAAATTGCTAGATATATAAGTTAATTCACTAATTTAATTACCAATAATATCAGTAAAAGTGAAAGCACAAAATTTGTGGGAAGTCAAATTTAATGAAAATTACAGTGTTAACATTGAGGGTGAGAGAAAGAAGGTTGGAGACTTTTATGAGAATAAATTATTTTATAATATTATCTCTGAATGAATAAGTTCACCTCTTTTTGCTGAATCGGTCAGCATTGATTGGTTTCATTCAGAGATTTTTACCAAACATGCTGAACATATATTCACTGACCGAATAAGAGAGGATGTGCATTCAGAGCTCATTAAGAGGTCCATTAAGCACAATCAAACACAGCCTTAATTGTGTTGCCCTATTTTGAATTGGTTGTCAATGTTCTTCGTTTAGTATCACACGCACATAAAAAAAAAGTTATGGCAATAGTAATTCAAGAAGAACAACATATACCTTATTCTTTCGAAGTTCAATGAAGAGGGGGCATTTTGATGACGAATACATAATTAAAAACTTACTCACAAATGTGGAGGCTCTAATTATCTACGCATAAAACACTACGTTTCATTTGATTAAGAGCCCGTTTGGGGTAAGCTTATTATAAACAACTAATAAGTTGTTTAGAAAGTTGACAAACTATTTTAAATGCAATTCCCCTTACTTTTATAAAAAAATATTAAGTTGTTTGGATAATGAGGTTGTAACATATTTTTACTCATTACAAGGTCTTAAATAAAAAAGTGGGATAGATGTACAAATTAAAAAATGATTGTAAATGCTCACCCTGCTTATTTTTAAAAAAAATTAAGATCTTTTTAAAATAATTATCAAACACTTCCAAATAGTTTATAAGTTCTTAAACATCTTATAAAGTTATCTTAACAATTTTTTTTAACAGCTTATAAACTTAGCTAAACACCATTTATATCTCTTACAGATTTACCCCCTCCGTTTATAAGAATAAATCAGTCGTTTAAATGCTTCGTTTTTTATTTGGAAATACCAAATAGCCGATCGAATATAAGTGTAAATGTTGCCCGTCTAGCTCAGTTGGTAGAGCGCAAGGCTCTTAACCTTGTGGTCGTGGGTTCGAGCCCCACGGTGGGCGAATAATTTCATTTAATTTTTTATGGCCCTACCAAGAAATTGGCCACAAGCCCTTCTAAGTCCCTCAGGCCTCAACTAAATCATCACACAATCTTAAATTAATTTGACCTAAAAGTAGTTTTTTCTAAGCCATATAAATTTTTCTGTTTAATTTTTTTTATAAACGTAATATTTTATCGTAAACAGAAGGGCTGATCTAGTACAATCAATTACCACCTCCGATATTTTCTCCTGGTCGTGGCGCCCAAAATCAGCATCCGTAATTAGGCTTTGGTGGACAACTGAAAACTTGATACCTTTCCACTCACTCTCACTTGTTTCATCAAGTCCTTATTGAATGCCTTATATTCGTCACAGGCCCAATCGTAAATTTCTTCTACATGTTTTAGACTCTTTTCGAGGTCATAAGCTCTCTTTGAGATCATGTTGAGAAGTATAACCCCAAATGCAAACACATCTTGTATTTCCGAAGATACACCTGCAAGCAAGCAAATGGAAACACACTTTGCTTTATTTGGCTCGTTTTTCAGCTGAATAGGAAAGAAATACTGTAGAAGGGCATTTCGAATGATTTACCAATCTGAAATGTTAAATGTTCGTTCCAATTTTACAAATACCGTTTTGACTTCGAACGTGATTTTGACCCTTTTTTAATCCGATTCTGGCAAAATTCCAAGCTCAAAAATTGCAGTCCATTGAATCTGCTAGATTGGATGTCGGGTGACAAAGTTATGCATGAATGAGTTGCATTTTGAATTTTAGATAACTCAAAACATCAAAGTTGTGGGCAATGTTCATTGATTCATGCATATCTTTCTCACCGAACGTCTAATCTTGGAGATTCAAAATGGATTAGAAAGGTAACTCAAAGAAATACACATTATGTGTTTTGAGCTTTTGCCAAATTTTGAGTAAATAATGGTGAAATTAATGTTTCAAATCGAAACGGTGTTATTAAAACTGAAACGACATTTATCACATTCCCAACCAATTTATAATAGGGGCAATTTGCTATAGGTTCCTCCATATTATAATTTATATGTATAAATCCAAGTCAAAGTTTCCATATTTTAATAAATTAATAATATATAGTAAGGCAGAAATACCCTTAAGTCAAATCAAATCAAATCCCAAAATATCTCCCTATCAAAACAAATTCCCAAACATCTCTCTTCCAAATATTAACTAATAAATTAATTCATTAAAAAAAATATACTATATATTTTAAAAACTCATACTCTAAAAACGCCACCACCGCTTATGACTCCGTGAACTCCGACTCACTCTGTTAACTGCAAATAGCAAACTGAAATTTAGAATTTGTACTATTGAATTGCAAACAACAAAATACGTATGATTTCGCCAAATGCAAATAACAAACTGATTTTTTTTTCTTCAGAATTTTCATTATTGAATTGCAAACAAAAGACTACCTATGACTTTGCCAAATGCAAACAGCAAACTGTAAAAAAAAAAACTCAATCGCAAGCAATAAACTACTGATGACTTCATCAAATGCAAACAGCAAAATGAATAAAAAATCACTATCATTAAAAAACATTAACCAAAAAATTGTTTATGGAACACGTTGCAAAACAACAAAAACATTAAACGAAATGTTTGTATAAATGTAACTTAAAACATACCTTACAAATTGTAAACCAGAGGAATCGAATCTCAACACCCAATGCAATTCTTCAAACAACAAACGAAGTTAACCTGCGAATAGAAATTGCTAACAACAAACGATAAAGGTTCTACATACGGAAAACTCAATGCTAATTTTGGCTAGGGCTTTGAATTTATGATTTTTTTTTGGGAGGGGGGGAGGGGATATTTGTTGTCTTCCTTAATAATTTCACCAAGAAATCATCTCATAATCTAATTTTTATTTTTATTTTCCTTCTCTATAATATTTCTTCATAAGAAAAAAAATAAAGAAAAAGAAAAGAAAAATATAGAAGAACGAGAGTGAGGGACGCGTGCGTGACATAGAGAGAGAGAGAGAGAGATTGAGAATTAAATATATGGTGAGAGAAACGTAAGATTGGAGAGATATTGACTGATATATGAGATTTGTTTTCTTATTAATTGGGGTTGTGTATGTCTATATACTAATTATTTTATTTTATTTATATTATTTTTTTTTGGTCAAATGACCTATGCTTATATTCATCTAGCAACTAGGATCTCTACCTATATAAGTCCAAAATAAGGGGTGTCTAGCAAATTTCCCCTTTATAATAATGTATAAATCGCATTCCTCAATCTAGTGAAACAGGATTAGGCTACTAACACTTGAAACTAATTTAACAGCATCAATAGCTTTTATCAAATAACTAGGAACTCGTTTTCCATATTATTATACGAATGAAATTAATCGAAGATATGATTGTCAATGAAATACTAAAGTCGAACTACCTTTGTAAAGTGAACCAACATCAATGCAACATGGTATCTTTTATATACTGTCCTGTCCTGGAAAATTCCGCCACTGATTAAACCAAAATCACACAATTTAGGATTATAGTCCTGCATACGAAACAAAAAAACCAACTTAATTACTGCTTGCACTCGTTCGCATTAGGATATTTTAATTCAAAAAACTTAATACAAACATACCTTGTCGACCACTATATGAGCACATTCGAGGATGCGGATTATGAAAGGTTTGTAAAACGAACCCTTCGAGCGTGTAGAAATTTGAGGAGGGACGCAAAGCCGAGTGCGACTTTGATTCTTTGCAGCAAAGTGAAACAATCTACAGAAGAAAAAAAACCAAATCGTGCATATTAAAATTTATGCACAAGTTGCTATTTAGTAAATTTAAATAAAATATGAAAAATCGAAACCTTTAGTAACGAGGTTAAGAACCGAGTCAAAAGGGTCGAGTTCATAAACAACACCAAGATTATCATCATCATCCTCACAATATCTATACAATTTGACCATGCCTGGATGACTTTTCAGCAACTCATGCGAAGCAACATTACTTCTTCATATGCAATTTATAAATTTCATGATTCATCGAAAATGAAAAGAATATGTAAAATAAAATGGACAAAAAATACCATTAGTTGGCGTTAGTTGTCTCTAGTGCAATGAATATATATTTTGGGGCTCTTTGATATGAGCCCTCAATACATTTTTTAATAGGGAGTGGCACGAACTATTTTGCACCATTTGAGAAAAACCCACTCCTAATTTCAACCACTCATTTTTTCAATTATGTCCTTTTTTTGCCACTTCATCAGCATTATCCGCCCATAACCCAGCCGCGTTTTTTTTTAATTATTATTATTATTATTATTATTATTATTATTATTATTATTATTATTATTATTATTATTATTATTATTATTATTATTATTATTTATTTATTTATTAATTTTTTTTAATTCAATTATTTTTTTTTAATTTTTTCTTCTTTTTTGTAACTTTTTTTCTCTATCAAGTATATTAATCGACTATGAAGCATATTAAATCGACTAAGATGAACTATAGTCGATTAAGGATCCGACTATTAAAAATAACAAATAACAACTACAAAAATGCAAACTCAATTATATTTTTACAAAAACAAATAATGTACAAACATTATAATTGATTTATACAATTGGAATCAACAAACAAAAAATCCAAATAAAAAAATAAAAAGTTGAGTCATTGAAGCATATTAATCGACTATGATGTGAATCATAGTCGATTAAGAATCTGCTACTAAAAATAACAAGTCACAATTGCGAAAAAATGCAAAATCAACTATGTATTACAAAAACAAAAAAAATATACAAACACTATAAAAGATTTATACAATTGCAATCAATGAACAAAAAATCCGAAAAAAATTAAAAAAAATTGGAGTCGATCAACCTTAATCGACTACCAGAGCATAGTCGATTAGCTTAATCGACTATTAACCATGTATCGATTAAGATTCCAGTCTGCGCGAATTTCTCTACACACGCCGTCCTCCACCTGATCCACCAACAAAACCCTAAATCTGCCTCACCATCGTCACAACACCGTTGCAGCACACAATTCAACCAATCCTTAACAAGAATAAAATAAATAAAATAAATAATTCATATAAAAAAAACACAATCAGAATTTCAATGTCCACAACAACAAATACCTTCATCTACAATTTTCGTTGATTCTCCTCAGACGACGAGTGCTTCATCTTCTTTCTCAACAGCCTGTTCCTGTGCTTCTTCCTCCACACGCCGACAGGGTGGAACGGGCTGTTGAGAAAGAAGAGTGTTTCTCCTCCACACGCAGATGACGAGTGCTTCCTCTTATTTCTTTCTCCATATTCCGGCGGTGGCGACGGCAGCAGCATGGAGAAGATTGCCGGAGAAAACAAAGAAAGAAAAAAGAAGAAAACAGAGGAGAGGAAACAGAGAAGAGAGAAAAACTAGAAATGCGGCGGAATGAAAAATTAAAAATAAGATTAGGTTTTTGAAAGAATATAATAGATAATAGGGTAGTTTTGGAATTATGAAAATATCACATGGGTGGAATATTAGCTAAGGGGGTTTTCTCTAATTATTTTTTGGAGTGGGTGTTACCTTCAATGTATTTCCTAGATGGGGGGTTTTTTGCTAATTTTCCCATATACTTTTGGGTGTTCCCATATTTTCACCGGCACATAGTGTGTACACTCAGCACGCACAATCTTGCCATGATAACATTTGCCAAAAGGTGTTGCTATTTGCAGCGGGTGTTTTACTGAAATTGACTTATTTGTAGTGGAACCTTTTTCATTTAATTTATTTTTGAATTTCTTTCTTCTATTCCCAAACTCTCTCTAGAAATTTGAATTTCGTAAATTTTTTCGACTTTGAAGCCATAGCAAACGAGGCTCGATTTCGGTAAATTTTCAATATCCTACTACTTTTAATTAGTTTTATTCCAATTTAGGTAAAAACACATGTTTAGAATTAGATCTAGCGAAATTTCGAAAAAAAAAAAAATTTGAAGCTCCCGTTTTGTGGAGCACGGAAACTCGAAGAAAATTCAAGCCGTTTGAATCTCCCGTTCTGCAGAGCACGGAGACTTGAAGTTTTTTCGAGTTTCCGTGCTCCAGAAAACAGGGGCTTCACATTTTCGTGCTCCAGAAATCGGGACCTTCAAACTGTGTTTTGAATTTTTATTTTTGGAAAAAAAAAAAATGAAATGTGTATCCCCCGTTCTGCAGAAAACGGGAACTTGAAGATTATTCAAGTTCCCGTGTTCTGCAGAACGGAGGACTCAAAATTCTTGAAGCTCCCGTTCTGCAGAACACGGGAACTTGAATAATCTTCAAGTTCCCGTGTTCTGCAGAACGGGAGCTTCAAGTTTAATTTTGTTTATTTATTTATTTAAATTATTATATTTTGCTAAACGATTTTAAGAAGGATGAGCTGAAGCAACTCATGGCTCCTTACGGGCAGGATGAGTTAGAGCTACTGGAGGCATCTGTCCTAGACTCACTCGAGCACTTCTACATGAAAAACGTGGCCAAGGAACTCATGCAGGCATTTATAGAGAGGTGGCAGCCGGAAACAAAAAGTTTCCACATGACTTGGGGTGAGATGACGATCACCCTGCATGATGTCGCATTTATATTGGAGTTGTGTGTCGACGGTTTAGCAGTGGTGTACGGTGATTCTGTTGAGGAGAGGCCTATGTGTGAGTTGTTGCTAGCAAAGGTTTTTGATTTGGACCTGGTCGAGGCGCATGCCAAGCTCGACAATAGTCGGATAAAATGGTCGGAGTTTGTTCAGTGTGTGCGCAGTCGGTCCCGGTCTTGTCGGCAGAAGTTGGTAGGATTTTTGACGTTTTTGATCGGTATGGCTTTGTTCCCCGACCGGAGTGTAGACAAGTTCAAGCCAACGTGGATGAGATATTTTTTCTGATCTCGAGCCTGTCGGCGAGTATGCTTGGTGTGCAGCTGTCTTGGCTCATTTATACCGGCAGTTGGGCTCGGCTAGTAGGGCCCACGTGAAAGGGTTACAGGGTTACACGTTACCGCTCCAGGTATTCGAGTGTAATATATTGTAATTTAATATAATATGTTATATTTTAATATATTATGTTAATAATGTAGTATTAATTAGTATAACTTAGATAATAATATAATATAATCTAGTGTAATATACTTTTAATTTAATATAATATATTGTAATTTAATATAATATATTATATTTTAATATTTTATGTTAATAATGTAGTATTAATCTAATATAATCTCGTTTATTTGTAGTGTTGGATTTATGAGTACTTCCGCCCTTTGCGAGCACCTATTAATCCGGATTATAGGGAAATGCAGCCTCATTTCCTGAAATGGAAACCACGCAAGGGTATTTCGGACTCGTTCTCGGTCCGAAGGATGCTTGATGGTACGCATGCCGATCAAGTATGTATTTTAATTGTTGAATTTATTTATTTATCGTTCTGTTGATGTATTTAGTATTTATTATTACGTAAATCTAATTTTTATTACGTAAATCTAATTTACCATATTGACTGGATGCCTTACGGTCCGCACGTGCATAGACGCGTTCCGTGTACACATTATTATGGATGTATACAGTTTATGGAGATTATCGAGCCATATATGCCGGATCGCGTTCTACGGCAGTTCAGGTTTAGACAGACCATACCACAGTGCTACATTCACTCTAGAGAGCCATGCCTACGTGGTCCGCTTGGAGGCCAGAAATACCAGGTACCGTACGATCCTCCAGGCGAGGAGTGGATGGATTTGACTAGCAGCTCGATTACATTGGAGGGTAGGACATAAGCATGGTCGCCGTCAGATACTGTTTCTCGGTACATGGACTGGTACGTTCCTCGCACACATCAGTACGTCATCAACAGGGATCCACCACCACAAGGACCACCACTCATCTTACGCCCGCCTCCTATTCAGCCGGACTTCTATGACATTGTGCGTATCATACACCCTACATGCACGAGATACTCGAGCATCTACGTGTGCAGTTACAGCCTCGTGTCGAGCCGCTCGCACTTTTTCTCGGTTTACCCCCACCTCAGACTGGAGATTCCGACGACGAAAACTTTATGGAGATACCACCACCGCGTCGGCGACCTGGTGGGATGAGTGGCACCTCGAGGAGGTCTAGGGGTAGACAGTAGAATATTATTTTCTGAAAATGTTATGTTTTGTTTTGGTACACTTTTATTTTTTGTTTAACTATTATTTATGTTTTAGTTTGACTTTTAATTCAGTTATTTATTTAAGTTACGAGAAATAAAATAATACAAGATGCAAATACATACCAACTAAAATAAAATAATACAAGATGCAAATACATACCAACTAAAATAAATAATAAAAGGTTGAAATACACATACCAACTAAAATAAAATGCCTATCCCAAAAACGACGCCACATATATAGGCTTTCTTCGAACATTTCCGACAAGTGGGCAAGATCTGTGGCTCTAATATGTCCCCATTGTGGAGTGATAGGTGGTAGAGGACAATTAACCGGTAACTGGATAAGGACAAAATGGTTTCCTAACAACACCATATGGATCATATGAGTCAATTCACCCGGACCTACTAAAGGTAAGTAGGTCGTACTTCCGCCAACGGCGTATAAGACCAAAGATGCATTGTATTTAGTCGCTGTTAACATTCCCATATCCGGAAATGACATCCATTTTTCTTTACCACACGGTCCTTCTTGCCAATCGCATCTTGTAATCCATTGGATGACTTCATCTTGACCATTTTGCGATGCGTACGTACCAAATCGCTTGTACATATCAGCAATTAAATCTCTCCTCACACGACTCCATCTGTGCTGATCTCGGAACACTGCTTCTGGAACACATCTGTACCCACAATTTTCATTTGCGACAACATTAACATACGACACAATAGATCCTGCCACAAAACCTGGGACGTAAGATCTGAAATTGAGCTCCTTTGCTCGGTTCCTTTTGAGGCCTCGGCATACGATTTTGATTGGCAGTAGATTCATCACTTAATCTACCACTTCCTCGACCCCGCCCCCGTCCACGACCAGAACCGGGATCGGTTATTTTCGATGATGGGATTTCGGTAGAAGTATTTTTTCGACCCTTAGAACCTGCAGACGAGTTACCATTTTCTTCATCAGTAGACGGCTTCGGCGGGAATGGTGGGTACTCCCAACCGGATTTATCTCTCTTCGTCGGTTTGTCCTTTGGCCTTCCCTTCAGTTTAACATATGCAGGCTCTGCCAAGTGGATGGTGTCTGGATAAATAGTGTTATTCATGTAATCAGCAGTCAACTTTTGAGTCATTTAATCTTTTTCTAACACTTCGGTGGCTAATCTGATTATCTGGTCTCTCATATTTGCTTCGCGATCTAACTGTGCTTCGGGTATTTCTGGTTCTTCAACATGCATGGTACTCCAAAATGGATGTAGATCCATAGAGATAAATGTGTCACGCTGCTGAATTTTCAATGCAATTTGGCATGCACATGGAAGTCTATGAGTAACCCACAGAACGTGATCACAAATAGATGGGTCTTCTACCCCTAGTTTATCGAGCTCATCATCAACCAAATAATGTTTTATGTGTGACTTTGCATATCAAACCCTGAAATACTGGATACGATGCTTTATGCAACCTGATTAAGCTGCATTTTGAAAAATCACCCTTAATCTTGGTAAGTTGATACTCGACCCCAGAGTCAAGCTGATATCGAATGGTGTTCACATTGCCGGTAGAAGCACTAATCGAACCCTTCAATGAATTGTGAGCACTTTCTACCCTATTAATAGTCATTAAAATAACAACTAATAATTAAAAACGTCCACAATATAATATAAGATACAAGCCGAAAATGAATCCAAAAATACCTATTAGTCGACGTGTTCCCAAAATGAAAAATCTTACTAGTTCATGCTTTGACGAATTTGTGCTTGTTTATTAGCCAAGTATCGTTAAGGTATGATAGCAATTTGGGGTAACAACCATTGCGTCAAACCATTTCCTCGTAATTTTCATAGTATTATTCTTCTGTTTTTGATTCCACTAATGTTGCCCAATGTATGCGCCGGTATATAACCCCGTGTTTAGACTACCAATAAATTTTGATGCATTTTTTTCCACGTTTCTATTGATGTGAAACAGACACAAGAAATGTGCAGAATCTGGAAAAAAATGGGGCATTGCTTTAATGAGTCCCAATTCACGATCCATCAATATCACTTCAGGTACCAGCCCCCCAAATGCACATTTCAAACAACTCAAAGCCCATGCATATGTGTCTGCATCTTCATGTGACATGAAAGCAACAACAATTATATAATTGTAACCAACAAGGGTGATTCCAACTATTTCCAGAAGTGGCATCTCATACCTACGTAAATACATAAATATCAAATGCAATCAATGTACGATAACCCAATACTAAATACTAATTAACAACATACCTATTGGTTTTCTAAGTGCAGTCCATCAATATAACGTGAGAGAATAACCGCAAAAATTTCAGTGAAATAGGAGCGGCGAACATCAAATCAGTAAGTGTATCACCCACTTCATTACTTCGATACCAATATTCATATCCAGATTCTTGAAGGTTCGTCATCACGTGTTGTATCACAGTCTTCCCCGCCATATTCTGTTTTTTCATCTTCTCAAGTTGGTTGTAGACATGTTTCACACTCGTCGATGGCTGTGGATTATCCTTCCTCAATCGATCCATAATTAATGCCGGCTTCACGTGGCTCCTTCTAAGTAACTTCACTACCTCGTATTCTTTTGGTGTCAAACGACTATCTGGTCCTTGTCCAGTAAGATACGGTAGCGTCGGGTGAGTGTGGATGCCATCTTTTAAATTCATTCGCCATAGTCCATCGTATCGATTTCTGCTACAGTATATGCGAAACAGACATCCACATTTCTTTGATCCCACATTTCGTTGCTTCACACCTTCGGTTCCTTTTTCACGTCCCTTCCCAGACACATGACATCTAATTACAACATAAACGTTTTTCTGGCTTGAAGTTACTATCAAACGATGACCATAAGTAGAAGCCGTTTTTTTGCCCATGCCACTAATTCTTTCCCAGTTTCAAACTCAACATCTACATTCAAATATTGACTGTGATCCTTAGAAGTTGTTGGTATGTTTTGAGGAACATCATAAAACGTGTTGAGATCCTCGTACTCGTTATCATATTCAGTTGCAAATTCATCGTCAAAATCACCTTCACTAGCCTACCAAGGTATAACAAATAATAATTTGTATATTAATAACACTATGAATAAAAATAAAAAAAATTAATATCGGGGTTCCCGTGCCCTAGGAGAGAATTGTTCATGGTTCTCGTCCTCTAGAGCACCGGAAAAACATGTTTTCGTCCTCCAGGGCACGGGAACTTGGTGTTCCCGTTCTCCACAACACGATGGGTTCAATTTTTTTTCCCGTGTTGTGTAGCACTGACAACCCAAGATAATTGGGTTCTCGTGCTTCACAACACGATAATACCGCTAAAAAATAGAAATTTCACTAATTTCTTCGATTTTACCTCGTAGAAGTCATCCGAATCGACCATTATGTTATTTGTTGTCGTCGGGCAGTCGATTTATCAAACAAACATGGAATTCTTTTTTTTTCGAATTTTTTTAGTTGAGAGAGTTTTGAGTTTTTTAGAAAGTTGGAAAAAGTTAAAATGAAAGTACCGCTGCAAATAAGCCAATTTCAGTAAAAGTCCCGCTACAATTAGCATTTCAGTTTGCCATATTGGACATAGTTGATGTAGTTTCTCTTGGAAAAGTTCTCAGTATAACAAGCCAAGTCCTCATACGTGAGCTCTAAAACACGTCTATTTCTATCAAATAATCAGCACGTAATAACTATAAAATATGTGCAGTGCTGGTTGAACAAAACTACGGAATATATATGAAGATATTCTTATACATAGAAACAAGAGTAGATATGGAATATACAAAGCAAATTCCTTGGCAGAACGAATAATTATGCAATGCAATATTTTCGAGCGAAACGTTTTGCGAAAAAATCAATTGAAACAAACCAGTATTCGTCCCATGATAACAAAACCTCCACTAAAAAATAAATGGGAAAAATCTAAAACCGATCTGGCAGTAGTATTTATGAGGAAGTAATCGTTTGCCAAGTTTAAATGATTAAGATATATTCCTATGGATGTTCTTTTGAAAACATTCCAATACAAATACCAGAAAGAAACAAGAGTAAATATGAAAGGTAAACATAAGAATCCCCCAAAAAAAGAAAGGAATTAACTGAGAGGTTTTAGAAATAACATAACCCGTAGCTTCATTTAATGTCAACATCGACACTGAAATATGATCACCCACATCAATTTCAAATTTGTGCATATACATACTAGTACATCAATTTCTAGAACAAAAACGCAGCAAAATTTCTTCAGAACACAAAATCCTTCAAAAAAAATACCTTCAACCGAGGAATTAGGAGTTGCCTTTGGCGAAATCTTCTCCGCTGGTTTTCGATTTGAGTTTCTACTCTAGAGCTCATTACTGTAGGATGCCGGAGAAACAAGGGTTTAATTTATTTGGCCAGTGATTTTTTTTTAAACGAACACATATCATTAGGCACCGGAGGCCAAACAAGAAGGAATGTAAATCCCATCCGCATGTTCCATACAAGACATTGTAGCTAAAGAATGAGCCAGGTTATTGCCTTGCCGTTTGATAAAGGAAAAAGTACAACGAGAGAAAAACGACATCATGTTTATGCAGCCTTCAATATAAGCGCCAAAAGAAGGGACA